AAAAAAAACACAAGAGCAGACAAACCTCTGCATAATGCAAGACAAGGATGAGATGACTAGACACAACAATACAGTGCCATCTGCAATATTGTTAACCCCTAACGACCGGCACCGGCGTGTTTAGGAATCTCTTGCCAGGAGGGCCATGTGGCATATGTAACCCAGCACTTCTGTCATCAGCGGAGTGAAAATCTGACATCCTGCATTAGCCCAATGGATTTTAAAGGGCCCTGCACTTGCTTGCCAAGGTGGCACTACATAGCTGCCAACATTTTAAAGGGACTCATCTTAGTTTGACGCGTGCAGCGCTGTCATGGAGAAACAAGGAACATTTCTCTGCGAGGACTTTAATCGGATGGAAAATACTTTTTCTCCAGTTAAAAAGGTAAAAGCGGCCCACAATATATCAGAAGAAAATGGTCTCCTGTGTTACTGGACAGGGCTGACAGTTACAGGGACTAAATCTGGGACTGTCACAGCCAATCAGAAACATCTGCCCCTCTATGACATGACCTGGCACAGACAGGAAGGAATGACAGGTAAGACGGGGTACCCATGCCAAGCTTGGCTGATGAGTAGAGCGCGGACCGAGGAGAGAACTGCGGCACGAGCTCCAGGCACCGCAGGCGGGGAGGGGAAGCTGAGCGCTAGCCCTCCCACCTCTCACCGTTACACCGGAGACCCCTCCTTCTCCGAATCCCTTACCGAGAAGATCAGGCGTCCTCCAAGTCCCGCAGCCGGGGCAGCGCCGGTGATCCGTCCCTCTCCTGCCTTCCTCCGGTCCGGTTCACTTTCTCCTCCACACGTTCCTGTTACTACTCCGCTCCCCCTCCTCCCCTCTACTCTCTTCTCTCGTTCTTCCCGTGGGCGCGGGCACGACGCGCGCCCCCTCCACGACGTCAGCGAAGGAAGCGCGGGAGCGCGCGGTAGGGTGGTGTGAAGGCGCGTGCTGCCGGCTGTGCTCTGCTGGGACTGAGCAGGCTGACTATGATCCCGGCCATTTCAGTACGCAGCCGAGAGGTGGCGCTCTGCCAGGCTACATTGACATTGCTAGCCCCCAACATAGCCACAGTGGCTGGGCATGGGATTGTCAGTCACGTGACCTCCCTCCAATTTACTGACCCATTACTCAGCATGTTGCCTCATTAGTGCCCTTCTCCACTAGTGCTATGGCTGCCCAAATCACTTTATCGCCTGCGCCTCCATCTTCCCCCGGTCTTTATCCAGTCTCGGCTGACTTGATTGGCTGGCCTGGATGACGTAACGCCCATCCGTGCACATAGGCCTTACTTCATCCCGGCACCAAACTGTGCCGAGACTGAACTACGCCTGCCTGGGTCAGTGTACAAATAGGGCTCATTCACACCAGCCCACGTGATTATGTGTAGCAGTAGCGAGGGGCAACGCATCACGCACCACCCCCGTTCATGATCAGGCCATTTTTATTTTTGCTATTCAACACTGTGCTACTATAACTGCTAATTGTGCGGTCATGCAACGCTGTACCCAAATGAAAATCAAAATATCGTTATAAATCAAAATATCATTTTTTTATATATATTTTTTATCACCCCTGCGGTTTTTTTTTTGTTTACTTATATATTATATAAACGGAAAAAAAAAGACTGAAAATTTTGAAAAAATAAATATTTTCTACTTTCTGTTATAAAATATCTAATAAAAAAAATCTAATTTCTTCATAAATTTAGACCAAAATATACACGTCTTCAGTAAAAATAAAATCCCACTAGGTGTATATTAATTGGCTTGTGTGAAAGTTAGAGCGTCTACAGACTGGGATATATATACAGTATTTGAAAATGGATCAATTCTGATGTACTGATGGCCGGCTCATTTTTTGACGCTCCTCAGGCTAGGTTCTCACTAGCTCACTCACTGCGGGCTGGCTGCGGGTGCAGGAATCGCACAATTCCCGCAACCACCTGCAACAGCATCACATTTCTCTTGATGTGGGGCAGTGCCATGATACCCCCACGCATCTCATACTGCAACACAATCGCGGGTGCAGGAACCGCACGGAAACCACTTTAAAAAAAAAAAAACATGCCGTTTCTGCGTGGATGCGTTTCGGAAAAGATACCTGCACCTTTTCCTTGCATGAAACGCAGGCACAGCAGCCCATTCATGAACGGGATGCCATGACCGCACTTTTTTTTGCCTTCCTCTGGATCAACTGTGGGTATAGGATTATAACTTTTTTTTTTTTCTATGGTTGAACTGGATGGACTTTTGTCTTTTTTCAGCCAGACTAACTATGTAACTATGCAAACATGAGCCGCACGACGCGCACTAATGCAAGCCAGGAGTAAAATGCCTGGACTGTGCAAATGACCCCTTTTTGGAAAGTATACAGTCTGAAGTATTTAATAGGAGGCATGGCAAGTTTTTTGAAGATGGAATTTTTGGCCACAATTTTTTGAAAATTAAGAAATTATATCAAATTTTTTTTCTTTTTTGTTTTGTTTTTTTTTATCTTTTTTTTTTTTTTTTACAAATTTTCACCAGAGCAGTACAGCATCATCATATGACTGGTCTGGCAGTGATCAGGGACACTGACTGGTGACAGTATGTTAAAAAAAAATAAATTAAATTAAAATATTTTTAAACTTTTTTTTAACTTTTTTTTTCTTTTTTTACTATTTCTTTTTACATACTTTCAGTATCAGTAGTAGTAGTTCAGTTTTTATCACACTAAACATGCAGCAAGCAGGACTTTTAAAAATGCAATAGACTAGTGTGAAGGGTTCCATAGGATCTAAAGAAATATAGCCAAAACCTTTTTTTTGTTTTGAATAGAGTAAGGGGGGGTATATCCCCTGTCAGTTTATTTTTTCCTCATCTGTGTCCTGTTTCAGAGGTTTCCCTTCACTTTCTGTCCCATAGGAAATCACCCTTCAGTCCCCCCCCCCAGGTCACCAGAATGAATGTCCCCATTGGAATATTTCCTCTCTATTACATTTTTCTGGGAACAATTTTTCTTTTACTTTCACTTTCAATAATAATGGTAAACAGGACACATAGAAAGAATCTCCCTAACAGTGACACAGACAGCAATAAAAACTGACAGGTGTTCTAATCCCTCTCCACTCCATCCAAAACTAAAAAAAAAAAGTTTTGCTTTTAGTTATACTTTAAAGTAATGCATTTTATTGTATTTTTTCCACTTTTTTTAACTGAAAAACTGATCGGTGTAAAGGGATCCTTAAAAGGCCTGCTTGCTGCTGTTTATTCCTTTTGTTTGTATTGGTATGACACAAAATAAGAGAAACAAAAAGCCAAATCTGACACATTCCATATAAAACCTGGACAAAATTATTAGCACCCTGAGTTTAATATTTGGTAGCACACCCCTTGGAAAAAAATAACAAATCAATTGCTTCCTGTAACCATCAATGAGTTTCTTCCACCTCTCTACTGGGATCTCTTCGCCAACTGCTCCAGGTCTCTCAGATTGGAAGGGTTCCTTGTCCCAACTGCTGTTTTTAGATCTCTCCGCAGGTGTTCCATGGGACTGAGATCTGGACTCATTGCTGATCAGTTCAGTACTCTCCAGTGTTTTTTTTTTTTTTTTAATATTTCTGGGTACTATTTGATGTTTGGGTCATTGTCCTGCTGTAAGACCCATGATCTCTGTCGGAGACCCAACTTTCTGACACTGGGCCCTACATTGCACCCCAGAATTCTTTGGTAGTCTTCAGATTTCATAATGCCATGCACACAGTCAAGATATCCAGTGCCTGAAGCAGCAAAGCAACCCCAAAACATCAGTGAACCTCCACCATGTGTGACTGTAGGGATTGTTTTCTTTTCTTTAAAGGCCTCATTTCATTTTCTGAAAATAGTAGAATGATGGGCTTTACCGTAAAGCTGTAATTTTGTTTCTTCTGTCCACAGCACATTCTCCTAAAAGAATTTTGGCTTCCTCAGGTGAGCGTTGGCAAACTCCAATCTGGCTTTTTTATGTTTCTGTATCAGCAGTGGGGTCCTCTTGGATCTCCTACCATAGCGTCCCTTTTCATTCAGATGGCGACGTATAGTGTGAGCTGACACAGTTGTACCCTATCCCTGAAGGTGAGCTTGAATTTGTCTGGAAGTTGATCAATGTTCTTTATCCACCATTTGAACAATCCTTTGTTGCAATCTTTGATCAAGTTTTTCACTTTTGTCCACATTGAGGGGGATTAGTTACAGTGCCATGGGCTGTAAACTTCTTGACAATATTTTGCACAGTGGACACAGGAACATTAAGATCTGTTAAAACCACTTGCGCGCCAGGGGATTTACCCCCCTTCCTGACCAGGCCATTTTTTTTTGCGATACGGAGCTACGTTATTTTAACTGACAATTGCGTGGTCATGCAACGCTGCACCCAAATTAAATTTACATCCTTTTTTCCCCACAAATAGAGCTTTCTTTTAGTGGCTTCTGATTACCTGTGTATTTTTTTTTTTTGCACTATAAACAAAAAAAGTCCAAAAATTTTGTTCAAAATCAATATATTTGACTTTTTGCTATTAAACATGTCCAGTAAAAAGAATTAAAAAAATCTAATTTCATAAATTTAGGCCAAAATTTATTCTGTGATATGTCTTTGCTAAAAAAAAATCCCAATACGTGTAAATTAATTGCTTTGCGTGAAAGTTATAGTGTTTACAAATGGTGGTATATATACTGCAATTTTTTTTTTTTTTTTTTACTAGTAATAGCGGTGATCAGCGACATATAATGGGACTGCGGGACTGCGGTGGGCATTCTGACACTGGGGGGGAACTGACTAGGCATCGCTGACATCACCAGTGACACCTATACAGAGATCAGTACTAATAAAAAGCACTGACACTGTACTAATGACACTGGGTAGGAAGGGGTTAACATCTGGGGTGATCAAAGGGTTAACTGTGTGCTGATTCCCTGTGTGCTGTGTATGTGTTTTTCACTGTAAGCACACTGCTTTGTATGGCTCTGCTATGCAGAGCCATACAAAGCAGTGTGCAGGAGCTGACAGGGGAGAGATCTGTGTTGTTTATACACAGGTCTCTCCCCCGTCGGTAATACTCAGTGATCACCGAGTGCCAGCAAGTAATCACCGGCTGGGAACCGGTGATTGACAGCCGAGGCAGCGAATGACGGCGCAGGTAGGGCTCATGCGCGGTCCGTGCGTGCCCCCTACCAGAAACTGAAAAATCACGTATATATACGTGATTTTGCACACCCCTGCCACCCTGTAGCAGTGTTTCTGTTATAGGACGGAGGGGAAGCGGTTAATTGATACAGGTGAGTTTAATTACAAATTACAGGAGCATCACAAACTTGGAATCCAATTATTTCTTACAATTTTGAAAAGGTGCCAATAATTTTGTCCCGTCTGTTTTTGGGGTTTTGCATGTCAGATTTGGCTTTTTGTTCCTCCACTTTTTTTGTCACACCAATACAAACAAAAGAAAAAAAACATGAGAATGCCTAAACATTTGTAATTGCAACAATTTTCTGGGTGGTGTAGTGCATCATCTGACAGAAATGCAGGGGTGCGAATATTTTTAGCCACAACTGTATATACAATATGTATAAAAGTGCGGAAACTTTTTGAAGAACCCTTGTATGTATATATATTTTTATTTATTGGAAGTTTTTATTAAACAGTCATAGCTGTCATTTTGTCATATGTACTGCCTGCTAGACCATAACTGCTTTACATATCTTCCCAGCAGATGACTGGTCGCATAATGTTCAGATGTGACATGGTATCCTCATCATATTAGTCACACTTTTCCTGTGACATAATTAAGCTAGCTACATGGAAAAAACTGTTATGTCTCAAATGTTTTCTTAAAACGCACCAGTGAAATTTTTCATATCTACATATAAATATAACATAATGCTAGCCATACATTTTTTTATTTTATTTTTTTATTTATTTATTAAGCTTAACTTAAGTATATGATTTTTTCACACACTCAAAATTTTCAGTAAAAAAGTGATCATCGCTGTTAAAATACAGATGGCAAAAAAAAAAGACAGGGGTTATACTCCCTTACTCTAGCCAAATAGAAAAAATGTTTTTGTCTTTAGTTCTTTTAAAGAGGCATGAAGTCATCTTTAAAAAAAAATAAAAAGTAAAAAAAACATTAATTCAAAAATTAAAAGTCAGCAGCTGCAAATGCTCTAGCTGCTGACTTTTAAGAAATCAGCATTCACCATCACATGATTCCAGGGTTCTTTTCACCTAGGCCAGTTCTTCCCAGATCTTTGGAGCCCCGACACCACCATTTTGGCTGTGGGAGTCGGCTGTGACTTCCTGCTGTTTTGTAGCTGGCTCCCCACTGCACATAGAAAAGATGGCAGTATGACAAGTGCAACACTGCCTGCAAAAAGTGTTTAATTGAAAACCTATGCGGAGTAATGTAACTGCATAGATAATAGCTACAAAAATATTTTATTTGATCACATGGATCATAAAGAGGTTAGACATAGACACGGTGAACAAATCATAATAAAATAAAAAAATTAAAAGACATTCGACATCTTCAAATCTGGTTAATTATTGGCAAAAGGGAATCCACATAAGGCAATGAAGTTTCCTAACTACATAGTCAAATAATTCCATATGGTTCCACATGGTATCTGCATAGGGAGATCATTCTTCAGAAATATTCTTTGGTAAACACCACAATAAATGGAATGACTTCCTATAATGGAAACCAAGAAGGATAATTGTAGTGGAAATATAAAAAATAATATATGCACTGATCATGTACTAAAACAGGATAACCAAACTTGGTAGTAAACTAGTAATTCCATTACCTTCACATGAGCTTGACCATCATGAAAAAATGAATGTAGGGCCTTCCTGGGTGACCACCCCAATGGAAATGAATCCACAATAGCAAGTGATTCTGGGAATGTGTAAACATAAATCATGAATATCAAACAAAATACCTGAATAGAATGAATTTAAGGGTAAAAAATATACCATATATAAGATCAAGGAGACTCCACCTCACTTGAAATGAGATCAGGTCTTTGTGTTTCTGATGATGAATATGGGGGTGGAAAACCAGGTGGTCTATCAGGTCCATCCCCACTGCACATACATGAGATCACGCTGCGCTATCAGATTGGTCCTGCAGCCTTCTGGGCGATGCGATGTGTCCCAGGAGGTTGCAGACGGGATGAAGGGGGGGCTGGGCAAAATTATGTAATTCTCTCCCAGGATCCAGAATACCATAATGGTGCCTACAACCCTGGCCTCTGGAATCTACCAAGAATTGCTAAATCATTTTGGGTAGAGGGATCCTTTAACCACTTCCGGGAGCAGTGCAGGAACGGGTTGTCGTTCATAAATGGCACCCATATTTTCAGGCTGTGCGTGCTCCCAGGGAGCGCAGCACTGTGATCCGGTGCCCACTGTGTCCGAAGGTACGGGACTTCTGTGTGAGGTCCCAATCATGTGATCATTGATTGGCCAATCAATGATCACATGAATAGTAGTAATGACAATTAAATACAGTGTTCCCTTCCCTTATTCACAAACTTCCCCAAAACGCATATAAACACTTTAAACCCCAAAAAGTGTACTAATCTTATGAAGTATGCTTAGTATCTCAAGTATAAATACAAATAAACCCCCCCAGTGCAAAATATGACAATCAAATAATACGGTGTACCCTTCTCTTTATGATTAAGTCAAAAATTGACGAAACATGTCAAAGGGAAGTGACGTCAGACGCACAGCTGAACCGAAAGTGATCGAGCGGCCATTTTGGATCCTGGAAATCTCTATTTGAGACACAGGAGAGGATCTGCTGAGGATTTCCGGAGGTCTGGCTGGGCTGATTTCTTGTTTGATGGCAATTTTAAAGATGAAGATATATGTAAGCACATAAATGAAGTATATTCTGTTTAAGTTTTTACGGAATTACACTATTGTGGTTTCATTTATGGTGGGCATCGTTTGGAAACTGATGTGGAGAGGAGTATAATACTGTGGCTGTGAAGATCCCTCTGGAGGAACTTATTATATATCAGTACCTGCCTGGAGGATTACTAAGCTTGTGTTTATATATTTTTTGGGTAAGGGTATCTATTTTGCACACTCTAGAAGTGGACACGTTTTTCACAGTTTTTTATCACTAGATTGTTTCACGTGCACGTGTTTACACATCTATTCACCTTACCATATAGTGATCACGAGTGTTTTTTGTGTGAATCACATGCGTTATGGAATGAATAATTCAAGTTGTTAAGGATAATACACTATGTGCATTTTCCTTTCTTTTTTTTTTAGTTTTCTTTGGTTTCAGAAATTACTTTGGAGGCTGTCTTCACCTGGAGGTTGATTTTGAGATTTTGAATGACTTTGATGTTTTGAAGGACTAATTTATTATTTTGGGACTTGTGTGTTTTTTGTTTTTGTTTTGAGCACTTATTATATTTGTATTTATACTTAGGATACTAAGCATGTTTCATAAGATTATCACACTTTTTGGGGTTTAAAGTGTTTATATGCGTTTTGGGGAAGTTTGTGAATAAGGGAAGGGTACACCGTATTTGATTGTCATTATTTTGCACTAGGGGGGTTTATTTGTATTTATACTTGGGATACTAAGCATACTTCATATGAATATTAGTAAGCAAGATGTCACTTCTGACATCATTGCTTACTACTAGTGAAATCCGTGAATGATTACAGAGGTCACATGGTACAGGGCCATTCACAACAGCCTTGTACCATGTGACAAGCTGTGACCAATCACAGCTCTCACAGTATTTCGCAATGGCTGCAGAGAGGAGAAATGATTGCTTTTACAGCCTTTATGGATGTAAAAGCAACCAGTGTAAAAAAAAAATAAAAAATAAAATCTTCATCACTGTACTGCTAGGGTGACCGTATGCTAACAAAAAACATAAATATTAATATAGAAAATTAAAATAAAAATTAAAAAACAAAATTAAAAATTTATAATTTTTGGTTATAAACTAATTTGGGTTATTTTTTTTTTATTGAAAAGATAACCAAATAAATGTTGGCCAAGATTTAGAAGAAAGATTATTCATTTGCAAAATTTTATAGGAAAAAACACTTTTTTTTTTATTTTTGGATTTTTCATTTATAAAGCAATAAAATAAAAATCCCAGTGGTGAATAAATATCACCAAATTAAAGTTATATCTGTCTCAAAAAAATGCTATTAAAGTCATATGGGTACAGTGTTGCATGACAGCGCAATTTCCATTCAAAGTGTGATAGCACTGAAAGCTGAAAATTGGCCTGGACAGGAAGGGGGTAAAGGTGTCCGGACTTGAAGTGGTTAACACATATATGCGCACTTACAAAGGAAGAAAAACATGTAATAAAGTGAAAAAAAGTGGAAGCAACATGTCTAAATACAGCCCTACATGTCTAAATACAGTCTAAATAAATTGAACCTTGCATTACCACTTTTTATCATTCCCCACTGCAACTTTATGTCCCTTTGTTGCTGTTTTACAAATTTGTGCCAGATTATGGTATACTTTAATGTACTATATATACTATGTATTTGCCAATGTGCATGTTTAAAAAAAAAAAAAAGTTGGATACATATGTTTTTACGTTTACTGTTTTATTTTACAGGTGCAGCTATACTGTAATATATTATCTGACCTATGCAACTAAATAGAGAGAATTGAAGACAGTTACCTCTTGGCATATGTCTGCAATGACTTCTCTTACTAATGGATGGAATAAAAATAGTTCAGTGTTTACTGTGTGTGGTAACTTTTCTCATGTCCAGAATTTCTTGGCAGAAGAATCCTGTCTTTGCTGAAGTGGTAACTTGCTTCTGTATTACTGACTTGCAGGATCAGAATGCCAAGTGACCACCAGCTTGTCTGTGCCAATTACATCACAACAGAATGTTACTCAGCAACAGAAATGACCCACCCAATCAGTGTTTTGTGTCATTTTGTGTCATGCGGGGTGAATGTTGTTCAGTTGCGTTGTTAAATAAAATGACCTGATTTTGTGGTTTTGATTTATAAAAAATAAAGCCAAAAATAAATAAATTTGCTTTTAGGCTCCATGCACACTAGTGGTTTTTAGACTTAAACAAAAACAATGGAACAAACACTAGATAAAAAACATTAGCATTTTTTAGTAGCATTTTAGTAGCGTTTAGCGTTTAGGAGAATTAGCATTTTATTAGCGTTTTTACAGTACATGTAGAAAAAAAAAGCTTGTTTTAGTAGCACTTAGGAGTGTTCAGCATTGTTTCTGCTGGAAAAAAACGCTCCAAAAAACTCTACAAAAATAATGTTTTTTTCTGCTCCTAGATGCTGAAGCTCAAAAAATGCTAATAGCCTAAAGTAGTTTGCATGGAAACATAGGATAACACTACCTAGCTTCTAGGAGAAGAACAAAAAATGCTAGTGTGCATGGAGCTGTGTGACAAAAGAACAGCAATGATGCTTTTTGTGTGTAGAACACCTACCATCCCTTAAAGCAGGGTTTCTCAACCAGGGTTCCATGGAACTCTAGGGTTCCTCCAGAGGTTACTAAGGGGTTCCTAGAGCAATGAGCAATTTTTGCCTCTCAGGTAAGTTTCCACTGAAACCATTGATCTTTTTAGTTATCTGTAAGGGGGTAATTCTTCCCAATGAAGATAAGTGTAAGGAGCAGGGGTGTATTTACCACAAGGCAAACAAGGCATTTGCCTAGGGCGGCATTTTTCATGGGGGGCAGCACTGATCCTCGGAAGAAGGGACATACGCAGCATGGGGACCTGGTGGGTTCCGACAGAGGCTGCAGGTTTGTGGGTTCCGAGAGAGGCTGCAGGTTTGTGGGTTCCGAGAGAGGCTGCAGGTTTTTGGTTCCGACAGAGGCTGCAGGTTTGTGGGTTCCGACAGAGGCTGCAGGTTTGGGTCCGACAGAGGCTGCAGGTTTGTGGGTTCCGAGAGAGGCTGCAGGTTTATGAGGGCGTTTGCACAGCACGAATCATGTTCCCGAGGATGTGAAGGTGAGTGTCTTTTTCTCTCTCACCATGGAGGATGGTGGCTGGTGTATGGGGGGCAGTGGTAGTGGAAGGCTGTCTCAGGTGGGAGGCAGAGGTGTTGTTGGTCAATGTCAGGCTCTCTCTAGGGGGCGGCAATGATTTTTGTGTTGCCTAGGGCAGCACAAAACCTAAATACACCACAGGTAAAGAGCAATGATACCTCTGACCATCACACTATCGCATCATGAATTGTTGATAAAGTCATTTTTAGCAGGAGTTCCCTGAGACCGGAAAGTTATGTCAAGGGTTCCTCTGCATTGAAAAGGTTGAGAAAGGCTGCCTTAAAGAGACTCTGTCACTTTGCCCTGAATAGATCTCCTGAAAACTCAACTCCCGATCCTCTGATGCCATGCTGACATCCTACTTTGTTGCTAAGTTGGAGCCTGGAATCCAACCCTGTGTAAGCTTTGTGTTGGATGGTATCAGATTTTACCCAGGTTTGTTGACGTTCTCCCTCTCCTGACATTTGGCCAGACAGGACTGAACACTGCATCATGAGAGGAGGTCGCATGTTCCCCATATGCAGTAGCATGGGTACTTCATAGGAGCTCCAATGAAGCAGTGGTGAACGGTATTGAGCTGGAGCATTTGTGAGTCGGGTGGGCTTTTAAGGGAGAGTCAGTGTTTTTCATTATGGATAGAGTAGACCACACTTTCTCATCCTCTTTTGCCCAGAGGAACCCTTGAAATAATTTTCAGGTCTTAGGGAACCCCTGCTAAAACCAATTCACTAGTGATCAGTGGGAAAAATCCCCCATACATACAGCTGAAAAGACCTGTACACCCATGATCATTGATGTTGTGCAGCTGGCTCTGCCAAGGAGCATTGGCCCTCTGGATGAACTCTAGGGTTCTTAGAACCATGGCTGAGAATGGTTGGAGTAGGGAATGGTGTTCCTATTGGGGATATTTCTCTGCACTACACATCATAATCACCAGAGATAAAGCGTGCCAAAGACGTATTGGAAAGAAATGTTTCTTATAGTTTCTTCAATAGTGTAGGATTCTTCATCTCCACTTTACTCATCATAAACCTGAAGCTCTGCTTTTAACAAATACTTTTGGATAAGAAACCAACAATTTTTGTTCCTTGTGATTGGGTTTAAGAAGCCATACCCTCCACTTGAACAAGTGCTACCATCCCTGTCTTTTGAGAATATTGTCACTAGGACAAGGAAATGAAGTGCTGCACTGTGTGATCCATGTGCCATGACTGTGTATGTGCAAAAGCAACCACAGATAGACACACAGGTTTATTTACTAAACCTAGAGAGTGCAAAATCAGGCTCACGTCTGCATAAAAACCAATCAGCTTCTAACCACAGCTTGCTCAATTAAGCCTTGGCAATAAAATCTGGAAGCTGATTGGTTTCTATGCAGAAGTGAGCCTGATTTTGTACTCTCCAACTTAATAAATAAAACCCACAGTGTCACAGCACTAAGTGATCTGCCCCTAATTTGAGTTTTAGCTTTGGCTCTGTGTGATTTGTCTGCGGTTGCTTGTATGCATACAGGGCACCGACAGATACTTTACACAGAGACGCAGCTCTGAGCAATCTTTTACTATTATGAACAAGTGGAACTGATTGTTCATTCATAATAGTGACATATCATTCAGCTTAGAGAGGGGCAGGGGCTTTGTGCTGGCTGTACCTCCCCCCACAGGAATATCCATAATTTGGGATTAAGAATGGGGTGGAACTACAGCCAATGTTAAGAAGTGTGTTTAGGGGACAACGGAGCCACTGATTAGAAAGGTGCCAAGTGCTCTTTGTTGTCAGGGGTCAGGCTGGGAGACCAGTAGCTATAGCAATAGAGACCACCCACCAGTAGGGTAAGTGCACAAGCAGGTCGCCCTGGCAGAAGGCGCTGGGTCTAAGCACTAACCGGTATTCACCAGAGGTTTTTTTGTGTGTTAGTACCAGGTGGCAGTCCTCAGGATCTTCCCCCTAGTAGATGAGCAAGCCGGGGTCCAGTAGCAGATATAGCAGATATTGATCAAACAGAAGCGTAGTCAGTAAACAACCCAAAGGTCAGTAACGAGTGGTAGCGAAGATACAGATGAAAGCATGAGTGACAAGGGCAACATATTGGCTGGAGAGAGCCCAATAATCTGGCAAACAGGAAGTGCAAAGGCATGGTTTTAATAAGAATTCATGGGAGGAGCAAAAGGTTCAAGGTTAAAGACGAGAATGGGTCAAAGTAGGATCATTGAAGGAATTGTCCAGGGAGCCATCCAGCATTCCAGGTGGCACAGCAAGAAGAGTTGCCACCAGACACAGCAGGGTCCTGGGTTCAGATCCAGGCCCTGATGTTTGCACTTGGTGTCCTGTAGAAATTAATAACATGTTAACATTTTTCATAAGACTTCTTCTTTACAGTGGTACTAAAGACAAAATAAAAAATTACATAGATGATGTAGTCTGTCACTACTATTAACAAGGAAAGTGGAAATATTACGTTGGACCCATAAGGTTATCTTATTGGTATTGCTATCTTATTTTAAGTTATTGATGTTGATGTAGGTGATCTAGTTCCCAGGCAAGCAGCTTCTACTCCACCCGGTCTCCTTGACTTGTAGTATGTTGTAACAAAAAGTATGTTAAAGTACTGCACCACTGCTGAAAAGTCCCAACACAACGTTATTGCAGTAAAGGTCAGGGGGACAATCAAAGGAGTAGCCAATGTGTTTCAAGGGTTCAAAACTGCCCTCTCATCAGGACTTAGGACTGAAAAC